GAGTGAAGCAACATTGCGGCAAAGAGAAAGGGAAGAGAGATTGACAACTAAAGGAGGAGAGTTAATAAGACGAAATGTCTTTGATTCCACCCTATCTAACAGCTGGACAGAAGAAGAGCCACCCCAGATATGAGAACAGTACTCCAAGTTAGGACGAATGAATCCCTTATATACTTGGAGCAACTGCTCAGGAGTGAAGTAGCTACGGCATCTGTACAGCATTCCCAACTTTCGGGAAGCAGCTTTACCTATATTAAGGATGTGTGATTTCCAGGACATATTGGAGGAAATGGTAAGGCCTAGCATATTTATTTAAGAATTTGGCAGAATGATGGCGTCCTGAAATGTAATTGGTGGGAGATCATCTAATTTAGAAAGTGTAATTGGTAGATACTGAGTTTAATACTATTGAATTTAACCAAGTTTGTACCTCCCCATTCAGAGATGCTGCACAGATCCACATTGATAGAAGTAATGATATCAGCTCTAGAAACAGATCTAGTTTGAGATTTAGGAGGAAGGGTAAAATGTGAAGAAGAGTGAAGAGTAGAATCATCAGCATAAGAATGGATAGAATTAGTTGTGTGAAGTAAATCATTGATAAAAAGAAGGAAGAGAGTAGGTGAGAGAACAGAACTCTGTGGGACACCACTATTGGTAGAGAAAGAGCGAGAGATCGATCCCTCAACAACAACTGCCATGGATCGGTTCTCAAGGAAGCTAGAGATTAGAAAACAAAGTGGGGGAGAGAAACCAATAGAGGGAAGTTTAGATAGCAAAGACTTGTGCCATACCCTGTCAAATACTTTGGAGATGTCGAGGGCCATGACAAAAGAGCAGATCTTCAGTAGATCTCGCCTGGCGAAAGCCATACTGGTGATCTGACAAAAGAGAATGGCGTTCAAGATGACGAAGAAAATGGGAGTTCAAGATAGTTTCGAAAATCTTAGAGAGGGATGAAGTTAGGACAATGGGGCGATAGAGGGATTAGAATGGTCACCCTTCTTCGGGATGGACTGAACCAAAGCATACTTTCAAGAAGAAGGAAAAGTTTGGGTTTAGAGGCAGAGGTGAGCAAGCACAGGGGCCAGAGCTTCAGAACACGAGGGGGTATTCCGTCCGGTCCATGAGCCTTACTCACATCCAACCTAGATAACACACCGGCAGCCTGTATTAATATTAGTGATGTTGGCATTGCCCGTCCAGAGGCCATCTTGAATTCAATATTAAGCCACTGTACACCATGTTTATACCGCACAATACAAATGTTTCTGATAAATTATATTACCGGTATCCTAAATTTTCTTTGGGTGCATTTTAAGAAGCATACAGGGTATTTATTTTAGTGAAGCTGGAGTTGAAATTATTGTCTGGTGGCAATCTTGTATACTGTTTAAGTCTTCACTCTAGAATCCAAATATTTTGATGTAGATTTAAAATGTTTTTTTTTTAGAGTTATCATGGGTGAATCTCAAGAGCAATATTGATTCTGATGAAGTTTGAAGTAAATATTCTTCATTTTATATTTATCTTAAATTTTGGAGTCCTGTACTGCACAGTATTTATGAAGTTTCCATAATCTGGGTCAGTTTGTTAGCTGGTGCATAGATTTCATGTACATTTGGCACAGATATAAAGTACTGTACAGTACTACAGTATTGTAATATATATCAAGCAAACATTTTACCAGAATGAATAAATGGAGTCAATGTGTTATCTACCTCATAGATTTCATTTATTTTTTGGTACGCTTGCAATTACAGAACCCAAATTGTGGCATTTCCTGCATTCTGGAAGATAGAAAATATTGGTTATATAAATATATATATATATATATATATATATATATATATATATATATATATATATATATATATATATATATATATATATATATATATATATATATATATATATATATATATATATATATATACATATATATATATACATATATACACAGTATGTATGTATCTTCCTTGGATCAACCCCTGTATCCTACTGTTAAACATATCAAGCTTTGGTGAAGGAAGACTGAAGAGGGTATAGTTTCTGGGTACAACAGTAAAAACAATAAACCAAATGAATCAACCAAACTTAACCTAGCTACCCTAACCCAGCTTGTCATAACTTGCAAATATTTTAAGACCATTTAGTTAGGTTAGGGTTGTTTCATTTAGTCTGGTCTCATCAATGGTGTACCCAAAACTATGCCCTTGCCATTAGGCCCTCTCAGGGGTGTTAGGTGGTGGTAGGTCATGTAGGCTATTCACACTGTTCCCTCTGCCATAAATTTTTATTTCTTGAAATACTGTAGCCAAGAGACAAATCTAAATCATAAACAGTGTTCACCAATTTCATCAAAGGTAATGAGAAATACAGTGGGGTATGCTATAACGAATCTAATTGGTTCTAGAACCTTGTTCGTTATAGGATTAATCCGTTCCAGGCCCCCAAATACAACCACTTAACATTGAAAAATATAATATAAAATTGTAAAAATTGTAAAAAAGTGCATAAATATGCATCCAAACCCCTGAAATAAAAAATATCATTAATACTTGTAATAAAAAAACAATAAATTAGTAAAAAAAAAAAAAAAAAATCGTTGTAGGAGTTTCGTTTGTTATAGCATTCTCAATTTTATAGGTAAAACCGTTCGTTATAGGAATATTCGTAGTAGAATTCCTTCGTTATAGCATACCTCACTGTACAGTAAACCCTTGAAAGTCCAGACCCCCTAAGTTCGGATATCTTTCTGGGAGAGAAACATTTTTCCAAACCCTTAAATATTGGTTGTTTAAAATTCCCACCATGTGTGGTCAGTTGAAATTTCAGCCAATGAGTGAATCCTTGAGAGCTCCTCCTCTCGGATCCGTGAGTGAACAGTTTATTCCTCCACTCTTAGAATGGACTCACTCATAATGCACTGTGATTGGTTAGCTATATTCAACACACATTCAGCCACAGAAAAATGGTAGGATTATAGGTAAAATAATTCATTCAATGTTGATGGTAATCCTCCCGGGAAGAGAGTAGAAGACGAGCATGTATTGCATCATCCATATGTCACACACACACACACACACCCACACACCTGCTGCAGTCCATCTCAGTCTCCATTATTTAGAATTCAAATTACAAATTTTATATTGTATTTTTTCTACTATTTAATAATTTATATTATTAATGATGAAACATGCACCATAAGAGACTAATAATATGAGAAAATAATAATTAATAAATAAATAAAAGCAAATGCAAATGTGATAATGACCAGCACCTCCCACCCACTGACCCTCTGACCCTTCTTTTACGGAGGGAGGGGATCAATGGTGAGGGAAGAGAGTACCTACTGATTCTAATTGTCCTTTTATTTTGAAGTCAAATTACAAATTCTGTATTACAGTATATTTTTTAATTATTTATTAATGTATTTTATATTATTTATGATGAAACATAAACCATAAGAGGCTGATCATACGAGAATATAAAAATTGATACAGTCTCTCCCTGACTTAGACTGGGTTAGGGACCCAAATTCAGGTTGCAATGCGAAAGTAATACATAGAAAATCTAAAATGGGTGTCTCTTTTTCTTCTCAGCCCCACAAAACTCTCACTTTTTAGCTTGCCAGCCATTTTAAAGGGAATTACAAACAAAAATTTTGTCAGTATGCAATCACTAACGTCGGGACTCGAAAATACGTAATTTGTAAAAAATTTGGTACAACTGGGGCGGTCGTATGTCTGGGTAGTCATTAGTCGAGTAGGTCATAAGTCGAGGAGTAGCTGTATATAAAAACAAACGCGAACACGGCTGTTGACAGTCTCCCCCCACCTCCAGCACGTTTATGCATGAAGTGTCATCTCGTACCTGTTAGCTCTTGTTAAGCCTATATCAGATTTGATTGGACCAATGTACAGTATCCCCATTAAGGACACTACGTTAAGTATTTTAGTAATGAATAAGGTAATGCAGATACTCCTCGACTTACGACATACTCGACTTACGACAACCCGGATATACGACTGCCGTGGTCGTATAAAATATTTTTCAAATTATACGTATTTTCTAGTCCCGACGTTGGTGATCGCTCTGTGTACTGACAAAATTTTCGTTTGTAATTCCCTTTAAAATGGCTTGCAAGCATAAAAGTGAGAGTTCTCGTGGTGCTGAGAAGAAAGAGACACCCATTTTAGAATTTCTATGTATTATTTTTGCCTTTTCGACTTACGACCAATTCGACTTACGACCTGGTCGTCGGGACAGAACCCCATCACAAGTCGAGGAGAGACTGTATTTATAAGAAAATAAAATCTTTTTAATGTACTGTACTGTACTGTACTGTGCTACGCTACACTACTATAAAGGAAAATGTAAAAGGAAACACACATGACATTTATTGCACATTAAAATATAAATCTAAGGCTCATCTGGGGCTAATGAGTGGCTGCTTAGTGCACAGTGACTCCCAGAACCCCCACTTGGTAAAAGTCCAGACTCCCTTTTCCCCCCCAAATTGTCTGGACTTCGAGGGTTTACTGGTTAGTGCTTTGGTTGCAAGATGTGAGATGGCCAACAGACCAAGTACTATATTTCTATGACTAGAAATATAGTACAGTAGAACTGTAAACAGATGTAATATCAAGTAGACTCAGACTGCATGGAAAAGGTCCTCAAACTAATTGATGGATCCGCTAAAGTGGTGCATAATAATATGAAGGTTCTGGTGTATTGTTTTAAGTTAGATTAGCCTAAGTTCTATTTTTAGAATACTGTTGTCATTGGATTCAGATTTATTAGGTAGTTGTAATGTAAAATGGATTCATTCCTGTCCAAGATCAAATTATGAAGAATGTTGTGTAGATGCAAATAATACTTATAAAAATTGCAATCTTAAAGTGACGATGTTTGTTTTAATTGCAATGTATTATTAACATATTAAAGATTTTTTTCAAAGTATATTATGCAGTGTTATAGTATTATTTGGCCCACAGATTACAATCGTGGTTTTGGTGGAAAGTTTGGGGTGCAGACTGACCGGCAGGACAAGTCTGCCTCAGGGTGGGACCACATTGAAAAAGTTGATAAACATGAGAGTCAAAAAGGTAAGTGGACAGTATGTTGCTTTGGTTATTTTTATCTAATCCTTTGTAGGGTCTTTGCATTTTATTGGATTTTGATATCATGGTGGATCGCTTAAATTTATATTTTCAATATTATTTATCCTTTGAATGATTTTTGTTTTAGAATTCATCTTTAATGGGAAATAATCATTGTCTTATGACCAGTGGAACATCATCAGTCATATAGATACAGAAAACACAAACATTTGTATTAATTTGCAAAATTTCTCATATGAATCAGCTTTTCTGTTCTTTGTATTACTTGATGGATATTTTTGTTTTAGTTTCTTAATAGCAACCACAGGTTTTAAATTAATACCGTATATCACGGCCTATAAGCGGCGGGGTGCATAAGACGCCCCCCCCAAATTTCCATTTAAAAAGTAGCTTTTGAGCTCTATTTGCTGTATAAGACCAGTACCCCAAATGTGACACTTACCCACTGACTCAGTAGTCCTTTACCAACCATCCTTGATTTTTTAAAATAAGGCCAATTCACTTCAAGTAATGTCATCAAATTATACCCGCTGGTGTAGTGTAAACACTAGTGACGTCACTGAAGCGTGTTGGGAGTGTTCCCTCGTCTCGGTGGTGTGACTATTTATACAACATGTGATTCAACAGCAACCACCGTATTCTAATTGTGGTGTTTCATTAGGATTTGAGTGAAAAAGGTTACCAGTATGTACTTACTACATACATTTATTACACAAATATATATATATATATATATATATATATATATATATATATATATATATATATATATATATATATATATATATATATATATATATATATATATATATATATATATATATATATATATATATATATATATATATATATATATATATATACTGAATATACTATGTACAAAAAATGAATGTTCAATGAATTATTTATGGTGCATTAGGGTACTGGTCACTTCTGATGGGCTATAAATAGCCTTCTTTATCTCCCCTACATCTCACCCTGAGCCAGACGGAAGGGTCTTGGTAAATAACATGTTTGCTTATTTTCCATTTACTTTAAATAGATTTACCGAATTATTTGTTTTATTTATTTATTTATAATATACTGTAATATATTAAACACACTGTAATTATTTTCTTTAATTTATAAACTATTTTGCGACAAAGGAATGTTCTCCAGTAGTGTTTCATTAGGATTTGAGTGAAAAAATATTACGTACTTACACAATTGTTCCTCTTACTTTGACAACACAACATACATACAGTATATTATTTCTCAGTTTTGATCTTTTTTTTTAATTTTTGTATTTATTTATAGTTAGTTACTTAAAATAAGGCCAATTCACTTCAAGTAATGGCATCAAATATTACCAGCTGGTGTAGTGTAAACACTAGTGACGTCACTTGAGCGTCTGTAATTAACCGTCGATAGTTTCAAGAATTAATGCACTCATTTACTGAATATTCTTTGGAAAAAAATAAAATTTAAATCAATTATTTATAGGAGATAAATATTATTATGAGTAAATATACCGATACCGGTATGCATTACTGACCACCTCCACGGCTCCTCACTGGCAAATGGGGGGGGGGCGTGGGGAGGGGTGTGTGATGATAGCTGTGTTTATTATAGGGGTATAAATCTCTTTTACGGTATGTTAGACAGGTTTATAATACATTTTTATTATTTTAATATACCGGTAATCTTAATTTGAATCCAGCTTGCCAAACGTAAGTTTCAGTATAAAATAATTAGTGGTAAGACCTTGTGAGTGGCTTACGATGTTTTCATCACCACTCTTGACACACTAAACCACAATATTTAAGAGGTAAGAATTTTAAACTTGGTGGTTTAGACGACCCCCTAACTTTGGGCAGATTTTTTTAATGTTCAAATTTCGTCTTATAGGCCGTGATATACGGTATCCATATTTACATTTCTGTTAAAAAAAATAGTTGGTATCAAATTCTAATATAATGTATATAATTATACAGTACAGATAGTATATAATTCCTATTGAATTATTTATTAATATTTTTGTGATTTTCTAACACAGTTGAGTTATATTGCCTACAGCTTGCTTGCATTGAATGCCTGTTTGAAGATTATGATTTGTTTCAATGCTAAATTTAAGCTTACTGTGTGTTTCCTGGTTTACCTTAGGTTATCACAACCTTTTTCTTTATGGCATAGATATCAATTATGCAATAAAAAGTTTAATCATTGTTTGTTATTGTACAAAAACTGGTACTGTACAGGAAATGTGAAAGGGAAGTTTGGTTAAAAAAAAAAGGTTGCAAAGTAATTATGTAATGTATTGAAGGATATAATTGATATAATAATATTAATACTGCAGCTGGGATTTTGTTTCTCAAAAGCACCAGTTCTTCTAAAGAATTCACTAGTGCTTAAAATACTACTAAGTCAAAGATTTGAGAATAAAAAAGAAAAATACTACTAAAAAGATCACAAAAAGTGACAGTTCGTATGTTCTTAAGTTGTAACCCTTCGGTGGTATGTTAGTGAAGGAAACACAACTAAGAGATGGAGTTTTTTTGTCAAAAGACTTGTGTCAAAACGTTTCTTTCACTGCCGTACTACCATTAGTCCACAATGAACAATGTTAATCTGTAACATTTCCTAAACTCTGTAATTCTCCATCAGTATCATAAGCTTTCAAAATAAGAAAGGTTTTAAGTTGCTTCTTAAAGGCCTCTACAGAAGTCAGCTGCTTCATGGATACAGCCAACTGATTGTACAATCTCAGTGCCGTATAGGAAGAGGATCAGACAGCAAGAGAACATTCCCGTACTGTTCTAGGCTCCACATTACAGGAGTGATCATCTCTATTATGCAAAATCTTTTCTGAACTTGTCAGAGGATTTAGTAGGTTGAACAAATACTTAGTATCATCAAACATAAGTGGCATAAAAGTGTTTAGGCAGAGTTTGAACTCTACCCTAGCTTTAATTGGAGGCCAGTGCAATTTGATCAAGAATGAGGCAATGGGAGTCCTCGGTAGGAGAGTAAAAATAAGCCTGGCAAACCTGTTCAACATCGTTTGAACTTTCTTCAGTAGATAATTTGGTAGGCAGACCCATAAAGAGCTACAGTAAGAGTACACTAGTCAATGCGAGACAAAATAATGAATATTTACATATGTTAATGGATAGAAGGATAATTGTCATTTTGGTGATGTGATTTAAATATGTCAACAGAAAAAGATTCATGTTCATAAAATAAGAAGGAAGGATTGAAGCAAGATTTTTTTGTTTGTTTTTGGGGGGGAGACGGATGAGAAGGCTGTTTGCAGCATAAACATTGTACACAGGGTTAATATAACACAGAACTGGGTATATCTTGTTCTTTAGTGGTATATATCACAGGTCACTTGTGAGGATCCATAGACCATAAATTGAAATTACTGTACCTGTACCTCGAAAATTGAAATTACTAGTAGACATTGTTTTAAATCCTTTAAGTTATGAAGTCTGAAGGTTGTGGTACACAAAGGTGACATACCAGTAGCTGTGTGACAGATGAATATTAGCTACTAACACTGCAGGAATTTTTACCAACATAATTATTCCCCAGAAATGTACAAGTTAAGCATTCCATAAAGTAAGTTTTACTTTGTATTCTTTGAAAGGAAAGTATTTTAATTTTTTACATATTTCATAAGTTCCATTGTATATGGTATATTTTGATACAATAATCCACTGCTTTATGACAGTATAAATTGGATATTCAAAATGTTAACAATGAAGTATTTTGTAAGTTTTTGGTGCTATTTGGATTGCTTAACCTGAGTGCATCTCTTGAGGTACATACAGTGCCATTATTAGTACGGTATGAAATAATTCTCACTTTTCATTTTTTTCTCCACCTACCTTTTATACTTGTGTGATCATGTTTGCTGCTCATAGACTACTCCAAGGGATTCGGAGGCAAGTTTGGCATACAGAAGGATCGGCAAGATAAATCAGCAGCTGGCTGGGACCACATTGAGAAGGTGGATAAACATGAGAGTCAGAAAGGTGCGACAAGCATACAAGTGGTTTTAACTTTCCTTGTGGGTTTTTGTCCATGCCTTATAATTATCATACAGTACTATTCGTTCAGTAATATATTTTACCACTCAGGATTTATTGTTTGGTATTCTGTACTATGGAAATTTAGTTTTAATGCCACTTAGTTGTAACAAGTACATTGATATACAACTTCTTCCTCTGGCCCCTTGAGTGCATTTACTTGATTGGTATTTCAGATATAATACCTGTTCACTTCTTAGACCTTTTAGCTGCAATACCGGCATCTATCCTAGGCTAAAACCATCCCCAAAAAAGTATCATTCTTGGGATAAAGAAAATAAGTGCTGTACTGTACACTATTTTTTAGATGTGTAAAATGAAAATTTTCAATTAAAGCTTCAATGTTACTAGATTATGGGACTACTTGTATTAAATTTCAAAGGTATACCTGTATACAGTAGTATGAATTCTTAGGTAGGATAGGGCACATTTAGAATGAAGAAGGATACACTCAGAGAGGAATGGAGCAGAGTTTGAAAGTGATGAGGTGTGACATTACTTTAGTTTTGGGAAGTGGGGTGTCTTTTTAATAATTAGGTACATATACTTTTGGTAGCTGTACAATCTTCACCTAATACAAGCCTATTTAGGTTATCTGAAGGTGACTTAATTTAAAATTACACAATTACTGTACCTGTAATGAAGTTATTAGATTTAAAGGCAAAAGCATCAAATTTCAGCTGTAATCTCTCACCATCCATGTTATCCTGTTTTAAGTCTTCGGGTTTCTATGGCCAGCACAGGAGATTTTTAGCCCAGCATAGGGGAATGTTTACTGGATCAGGTTTATCAAGAGGTTCATCTCTTTCGTTTCATCATGTATAATATATGCTACTCACATATCAGAACCTGTAATCTACACAGGTAAATCAGTGTAAAATAATTTCATCTCTCAGTACCAGGTTTTGAACCCAGACCACCACATTTGGTAGTCACAATTGGCATGCCATATTAGAGTACAGTACAGTATTGTAATTTTGACTCCTTTACTCTGTTTTAGAGGAAAAGGTTTTAGGAGGGTAAATTATAATATTCCGAGTGCTTATTTACACACTCAGACTTGAATTACCGTATTTGCCGGCATATAAGATGCACCACCGCAAAAGACGCACCCCTATTTTACAAGGATATTTTGTGGATTTTTTTTTTTTTAGTAAGTTTCGTCATATAATTACTGAAAGTGATTTTAAAGTGGTTTTATAGGGAAACTTATGATTTTGTGCATGTAGATGCAATATATAATGGAATCAAGTAGATAATCATATTACCATTAAAATAAAGCAATAATAATGAGATGTGTTCCCTAGTGTGACCTTTTCATATCTTTTGTGTGGTATTTTACCCTCTTTTCCCCCTAAAACAATACAATTGATGAAAATTGCAGACTATATTCTTTAAATAATGTTTCTGAATGCACCTTATACAATATAAATGAATAATAATATGGTCACACAAGAGGAGATGGGACGCCATTGTTTTCGTTTGTGTTTACAACCGGGAGTCCAGGACGATAGTTCTACTCGAGAAAATGAAGAAAAGACCCTGGTTGTAGCTGTAAAAAATTAATGTAAAAAAATGAATATATATGTTTTAAGTAATGTTATTTAATGTTATAAATGGAACACTAAAAGTAGCTAACCACTAATGGCAAAGAAGAAAAAAAAAGAGATGGATTGGGAACGCCACCATATACTTGCGCTTTTAAGTATACCGCGTCATTTATCTTTTTAAGAATATGTACAAAAGATTCATTATTGTTTATTACTGAATATGCATTTGATTGAATTAATCCTTATATATGCGAAATAAGCAATACAATTCATAAATAATACGTAGAATATTGAAACACACAAGAGGATAAGAGACGGCATTGTTGTCAGTGTTTACACCCATAATGTCAGTTATCCACCTGAAACTGAAGAAAATAAAACCCAGGTTGTTATTGTAGTTAAATTAATAAAAAAAATATGTATGTTTTAATTAATTTTATTTAATGTACAGAAGAAGTAACCACTGATATAGAAAATGTGAAACTGATAGTGGAACGCCAATGTATACGTGTGCACTCAAGGAAACATAGTCATTTATCTTAAGAATATGTACAAAAGATTCATTTTTGTTTATTACTGAATATGTATTTGATTGAATTAATGTTTATAAATGTGAAATGTACAATGCAATTCATCAATAATACGTAGAATATTAAAACACACACGAGGAGACAAGACGGCATTGTTTTCATGAGTGACAATGGTTCTACATAAGAAACTGAAGAAAATAAGACCCTGTTTGTAGCTGTAGTGAACTTAATTTAAAAAAAATTTAATACCTGTATGTATGTTTTAAGTAATGTTATTTAGTGTTAATAAATGGAACACTAGAAGTAGCTAACCACTAATGGTAAAGAAATAAAGCGAGACGATTGGGAACGCCAACATATGAACAGTAAGTGCGTACATGTGAAAACATAACGTCATTTCTCTACATATGAATATGAAGGCAACACTTATTTACTGTTCATATATGTTTTAAATAATATTTACGAATGTAAAACAAAAATTCTACTCACCAATGGTGGTAAAGTCTAAAACATAAGGACAGCCAATAAATATTGTGCGAGCTTTTACTCAGATGACGAAGTCATCAGGTTCAACTCTGGCTGAAGCTGTAAGTTCAACTCTGGCTGAAGCTGTAAGTTCAACTCTGGCTGAAGCTGTAGCTTTCCATAAAGCTGTTGCTGAAACTGTTACTGAACCTGAAGTTGATGTTGAAGCTGCTTATGATGCTGAATTTGATGGTGTAGCTGAAGTTGATGGTTTTGGCCTTTGAATAATAAAGATGTCGAAAGAACCTTGCACAGCTGCTTTCTTTTCTCATTATACATCTTTATGTAGAGGTCATTTGCTTTTATTTAAATTTTAATGCTTTGTTCTGTTAATGGATCCACTTCAGAAAATATGTTCATTGCTTGCTCCATATAATATCCACAGACCTCTCACCTTTTTCATATCGTTTTAACACATCTAGTTTCTTGGCTAAGCTTATACACTTTCTATTAGCTTTTGAAACAACACTACCATCACTTGCTCTCTTGCTCATGTAGAATAGGGATGCAAATATGCTGTAAGAAACCTGAGAAAGTTTTTCTCCTGTTCCTGTTCCAGAGGCGTGAAAACAAAAGGCCCGCCAAGCTCCGACCGTTGTTTACCACTCATTAGCAGGGCAGCTTCTTTGCGCAAGGTGCTCTTCATTTTTTTACAGTAATTTTCTTTTTTTATAATACATATCGGGATTTAGTTATTATTTAAATGAAAATGTAATTTTATTTTATTTTTATTATATTTTGGTCGTAAATACGAATGAAATAAGGTCGTAAATGGAATTGGGTTCTAAATTAACTAGGGTCTTACCGGTAAATATGAAAAGTTGATGGTCAAACCGTTGCTATCGGAGGCTTTACTGTATAGTAACATTATACTAACCCAACTCTACCTCTGATCAGAGCAGCTGTGTGGCTTGTTTATATTTTGGGAAAGAGAATTACCGACAGGATGTGAAACTCGTATTTTGGGCTGTGATGTTTTGTGTTGCCGCGATCGGCCGCCAGGGGGTAGCACCATCTCTATTGTTTTGGCATCATCAACTCATTGCAAATGGCTGACTGATGGCTGAACTTTCTGTTAACATTTCTTTAATCTTTCTAGGGGTATTTTTCATGTAGATAATAAACAAATGTTTATTAAAGGTAATACAGTCCTTAAATAATGTAAGACATGTATCTGGTGTGGGTTACATATGCTGGGGAAGGAGGTACAGTGAGATGTTGTGAGCTTCCCTCTGCTGTTAAGCCAATGTAAGCCATTATTTACGTCTTCTGCAAATTTGCCGTAATTTTGTGATTGTGATAATTTGGCTTGTTTTCAGTATTTTATTATGAGTAATATTATTAGTAAAACTTTTTGTGCTTAGTGGACGGACTACTGCTCGTCCCAGACTACCTAGCTAGGCACCTACGGCGCTCGGCCTCCCATCCGTAATACGGGTGCATTAGACGCAGGGTAATTTGGGATATACATTAAAAAAAAATGCGTCTTATATGCCGGCAAATACGTTATACGTAGAGAAAACAATGATTTTTGTTAAAATTTATTAATTTGTATTACAAAAACTCACTCCATATAAACATCAGCACCATCTCTGTAACAGTTATCATTTGTAACCCAATGCAGTATATAGTACAGTATTATTAAAAAAATTATAATCTTGGTAGCCATGGTACTATACCCTATTTTTTTTCCATAAGGAATTAAATTCAGTACAGTATTTGGGAATTCACGATTCGTGGCAATTCCAAAAAATGTACGGATAAGTGTATAGTATTTTTATACAGTATATATATACATATATATATAAAAAAAATTTAATAAAGCATATGTCCTGCACTTATTTTTAACTTTTGAGCTATTGTAAAGGCCTAGGACTTAGGGATAGAAATCCCTTACCAGGCTAATGAGGATCTTAATAAAGGAAAGTCAAGGACCATGGTTTTCTGAGGAATAACAAACAACCGTTTGAGATTGGCATCTCTTTACTATAAAAAATATAACACAAAACTCTGACACCACTTAACAAACCTCAAATAATTACGGGAGTCAAACAAATAAGGCAGTCAACAGTTAATGGAGTCAAACAATTAAAGGAAGCAAACAATTAAAGGAATCAAACAAATAATGGAAGTCAGCAATTAATGGATTCAAACAATTAAATGGAGTCAACAATTGATAGAATCGAACAATAAAGGGGAGTCAGCAATTAATGGAATCAAACAATCATAGAATCAAACGATGAACAAATATTTCCTACGGCAGTGGCCCTGGGGGAAGGTTCTGGAACACGGTGATGCACACTCAGGGTAGGGAAGCGTCCCACACTCGAGCGACGTCTTGAAATGGCAGAACACCGGGGCACAGACGGAATGAGATGTATTGACGGTCGTGGTATGCGGTAGTGGTAGATGACCAGAGAGTTGACAGTTGATAGGTGAAGGTCTGGGAACACAGCCCACGAGTCCAGGACCTATGATGAGATCACAGCCAGAATTTGACGGACAGCAGGGTAGCTAGATACTGACTGTATGGCGGCTGGGATGAATCTGCCGGTGGCGCAGATAGTCGCTGCCGTTCTCACCTCCGTCCAACCACCCCAAGTGTCGTCTGCACCAGCAAACGAGCGAGTTAGCAGCGGTAACCACCCGGAGGATCGTTTCCGCCCTTACAGCTATAAATTATACAGTAGGACTTTAGATGTGAATCTCCTGGGTTATTTCTTCATTAGACCCAGGCCATGCCAACCATGGTTTTGCTAACCGTTGGAGAATTCTAGAAGGTAAAAACCCCTGTGGTTGGTGAGGGATTACTGTATATATGTTAATGGAAATTAAATAAGGGCAGTCAACAATTTTGAGATTGTCAGTAAGGCTGACAGTAATAAAATAAATAAATTTATAAACGGTACTGTCATGGTCCAGTTTCTTAAACAGATTGGATTCAGCATATGACATGAGTAGCTGCTACTAATTAAGCAGTCTGTTTTCAACTTGGCTGGGGTTACCTGTAATTATGGAGGGGCCATTGTTTGTTAACACAGTACTGCCTTTTATATGTTGTGAAAATATTTAAGGTGAGATGATGTGATGTCTCTTAGTTCTTCCCTACACTCCAGCATTGTTCATCTTGTAACATTCTGTGGTTGATAAGTATCCTTACAAAATTGTCATTGCCTCAGTTTCACCCAGGTTTTGCTTAGTACAGATTACTCAAGGGGTTTTGGTGGCAAATTTGGTGTGCAGAGTGACAGGCAAGACAAGTCTGCAGCAGGCTGGGACCACATTGAGAAAGTTTACAAACATGAAAGTCAGAAAGGTGTGCAGATCAAATAGATGTGCCCTTTAGAGGTTTAGTGTTTTTCTCATTGCACTTTGTTGTCACTAATTAGAGAATATTCTACTAGATACCCATACACACGTGTTGTTGTATTGTAGTCTGTATCATATTTTGAAAGAAAACTTGTTCTTCTGAGCTTGCATGAAATGCTGCAGAAAGTTTTCTAATGAATCTAATATGAGTAGCTGAAAAGATTAGTTGGAGGATTTGCTTAAAAATATTATGTACAGTAATTGAAACTTGTAATGATTACCTCATTAAACACCATTTAGAAAGTCCCCTGGTTCATCCAAAAAATGCTGCATTATGGATTTTACTTAAAATTATCTTTTTCTCGAGGCTGATTTCTTCAGTACTATCAGAATTGATTTGTCAAAAATATGTAAAATAAATGCAGTAGACCCTTCATAAAGAATGACTGTATACAATTCAGTAGAGTATGGCTTATAATTTAGATCAAGATGTTGATTGAAAATAGGAGGTTGTTGAGAATTACCAATCTTGGCAAAATAAATTTTACACGATACTTCCATAAGTGTTTCCACACTGCACAATGCTTGAAGGACTCATTGATGCATGATATTTAATGTTGTAGTGGACTTATATATCATGGTACATTAACAACACCAAATACTGTACTCTTGCCCATTGATTTAGTCAATACAATTTATAATCCCTCCCAACATTTTGAATTTCATGTTGATTAGTCTTATACTACAGTACATAAATGTGCTATGTAGTGATGGATCCAGTTTGATTGAAAAGAAGGTAAGGGTTATAATTGTGAAATGTAGCTAGATAGTAAGAAAGCAGGTGGGTTTTCCACTTTATGGAGATGTTCAGCATGTTCAGGTGGTAGCAAGGTTGGCAGAGTATGCGGTGGATACCATAGAGCATTCCCACGCAATTATGTCTTGTTACCCTGGGGAGGTTGGTTCTGTCTATGTGCCAGAGAAAGAGATTTATTATTTTATCACTAATATTAACAGCAAGTTGCTAATAAAAAAAACAAAAAACAAATGTGATTTATTAGATGAATATAAATAGATAAAGTACTTTAGATAAAAAAAAACAATTTCCAGTCCCACAGCATATACTGTAGTACACAGTACACACACACACAGACTTATTACAAATTCTTTTTATAGTTAACTGCAGTGCTTTTACAAAAGCACACTGGCTACTAATCAACAAATAATAAAAGAGGATAGAATTTTAAATGAATGGATGAAAATGTTTTGGAACAACTGTACTGTATCCTGTAGTGTACCCATTGAGCCACACTTATGTGTTGAAATCAGCTAGCCTGAAGTGTCGGAGCTTCAGGAACCTATAACTTGGGTGTTGACATAATATTACAAACTTCATTGTACAGTATATTAGTTTTTGTACATAGAATGAAGGAATATATATTAACAATGAAAAAAGAAGATGCTTCCCTTTGTCATATATTATGTGAATATAGTACTGGTATGTAGATTCCTGAAGCTTTGTCACCGTCCAGTTGATTATGACACGTAAGAGTGGTTCTTTGGGCACACTACAGCCCACGGTCCCAATAAGTTTGATCTATTTATATAATATTCGATAATCTGTGAGCATGTTTTTGAGTACTGTATGTAGAACGGTTAGCTGTCAGTGTATTTGTTAAGTTCAGGTATAGTCCCTCAAAACGGGATCTCCGAAAACTGGAAATTCTCGAACACCAGACATTTTCTTCTCTGGCTATATAAAGATTTGCTGCCACACCACTCACACAAACTCAATTGAACCTTTGATTTACTTCTTAATTAACAAGATATACTTATGACATATACAGTAGTTTGTTCGTTTGACAGTGTGAGTACACCAAATAAACAGCTTAGGACAGTGTGTACCAAGGATTTTATTTTATTGTTTTTTCATGCAGAAATTTCAGTTTATTGACCACATGAAACATGAAAAAGTAATGTGAAGGTCGTTGTCGGGGGACATAGACTGCTTGTGTGGGTTGCAGAAGTGTAGAGCAATTTGCCTTTATTTCTATATTAAAATAGATTAGTAGAGCAAGTAAGAGTTTTGGGGGTCCAGGAACACATCCCTATTGTTCTCATTAGAAGTTAACTTTGATGGAGAGGCTAAGGAACCTAACTTTGTTATCAATCTTGGGTCCAATGTAGTGGCATATCTTTAACTTAAACAGAGGGAAGATAATGTCACTTTGATATATTTGACAGAGTTTAAAATCAGCCTTCAAAAGAAAGTACAGTATTTCACCACATTTTAAGGAACTGTAATGTACTGTATTGTATTGTTACTGCTAATTCTAAATGTATGGTGGTAAGGATTTGTGTAATTAGTAGATAATTCAACTTGAAAAACTAAAATGTACTTGTATTCTCAAGCTTATCACTCAACAAAAATTGGTGTTAACAAACAACACTGTCCAAACATGTCATTTTATGCAAGTTCAAAGGGAAGACAAGCAGACTAGTCATTGGTGAAAATGAACTCCTGTCAATTAGCCATGGCAGTGATCAAACATGGGAGCACAGTGCATGTGTACCCAGTGACCTCTTTTCAAGTTCAGTGCATGTACACCCTCACCCCATATAGGGCTATAAAGACAAAACCATCAGATTCGATTTGTAAGAATGGATAGTATGCTGAGAGTTATTCCAGGTGGGAATGAAAGAAAAACTATTAGAAGTACATTGTGTCCTTTTATCCCGTGTGCTCTTTAGAAGACATTGTTGCTGTACAGCTGTTCAGCCCCTAAATATACACTCAGTTCATTTAAAATTTACACTCCAGTCTTAGAAGGCTGTGTATGGCACAAATTGTTGTTTGTATACATTTGCAACAAGGCAACCCCCAACCTAGCTGGGCTGCATGAGAATGATGGAGATAGTGTGTTGAGAGTTAGGGAGATAAATGATATCATAAACAGAATAACCAGGAATACTGAACATAAAGTAATAAATGGTTTCTGCTTAGATGTGATAATGTTAGGGAGTGTTGCTGTTTATATTTTGGAAGAAAACTCTGTGTTGTCAATGTTTTGTTTTTTTTGTGTGTGTATGCTGATGTAGTCCATATCATAGTGTCATACAAAAATATACCACCTTCCCCTTCAAGGTCACATTGCTTCTGTATGCAGTGGCAGTGCTACCTACCATTTTTTTCTTATGTTAGGATTGATTGTTAGGGAATCATAGGTTATAGTAAGAAATGTAGGTTTTACTACATTGCATCTTTATGTATAGCTCCAAGTAGTGCACTAAAATTGTGCCTTGTGGATGAATGATCATAGTAAAACAAACTGTTACATATACTGTACTGTATTTCTTTTATGCTAGAGATACTGTATGAAGATTATGTTTCTGGAATTACAGTACTGTACTGTACTATAATTTTAAAGCTGTCACAAGTTAATCTATTGACTAGCTTTTTTCTCAGGTATGGACAGGAACTCCACATTTAACTAGAAAATTGGCCACCATTCAGCCTTGTTGAATCATGTTCCTATGGTATCTTATGTTGATAGCACACATAAAAGAATCCCATTCTTTCAGTTTTTTGTGGCACTGATCCTCACACCAAAAGTACAGGAATAAATTGTCAATTTTGGTAACCAAAATGGTTGCCTAATAAGAAAAAAGAAGAAATATGTATACAGTATATATACAATCGTACATTAAAGACCTGAGTTACGATGATCTGTCTTGCAACAATTCACACTTCTGCTGCTTAGAATGGTGCATTGTGATTACCATGGCATCCTTTCAGTCAGTCTAACCACTCCAGATTATCAAGGCACTTTTCTCCCGCTCTTTTATCCCACCCAAATACCCAACTTTTTGGCCAAAATAACATACCATAATCATAAAACTTATACAAAAATTAACACTTACCAGCACTGCAGGCGAAGGATAATTCAAGCGTGTGGTGCCATGAGGTAGGTATCAGAGGTAATGGGGAGGGCTCACTGCACTACAGTACAGTATACAATACATTTTGTATTATAAGCTCTTACAGCACCTACTATAAATGTTATTATTCACATAACACTGTAGTTCATGTATAGTACATACAGTACATATATACAAAATACATGCAATTAAGTAAAGCAACTGCAGGTATCCTACCAACAAGTAATTGAGCAGCTGACCAGACAGCCTCCCGCGCGTCCATCATAGGTTGCACGTGTTACGCCATTCCGAGATTGCGTTATCATATCAGAATATTGTAAGGTATGTAAAAAAATAATGCAAACATAATTTACAGCTGAATGCAGTATTTTACAGCCATTCAGAGTTACCTGTATATTGAGTTAAAAGTTATCAAGGGTTTAGTCTATTACCAAGCCCATAGGTGAGGTGCTTTTTAGAGGTTTTGTTTTTTAATTTTTTATTGAAAATGAATGTAAGGGAGCACCAAACAAACACTTTGACAAGGATGAGAAGTCAGTGGATGTTTCACAGGCATTGGGAATAGCAGCATCCACTGTATAATGGTAATAATTTTTTTTGCAAGGAACACACCTTCAATTTTTTGCATTAAGTGAATTGACATTAGACATTTGAGATACGATAATTCGACTCATGACAGTAAATTGGCAGACACATTCATGTCGTAACTCAGGGCTTTCCTGTACTGTATATGCATGAGTGTACACTGTACTTGTGTATGTGTATTTCTGTGTATTTATATGTATGTTATGTTTGTAAAGATGATTTTTTGAAATATACAATATAAGAAGAGAACAATAATTATCATTGGTGAAAAAATAGACTACCGGTACTAATGTTAATGTTGTTTGAATTTAAAAGTGTAACAGTTTATAGACACATTATTGGTTGATATATTACATAGATTATTGTAAATAAGCATGGAAATTTCTCTGCCTACAGGTATTATGTACTACATGTGTGTGACCTTTGCTTTGTACAGACTACTCTAAAGGATTTGGTGGGAAATTTGGCGTACAGACGGATAGGCAGGACAAATCTGCTGCTGGTTGGGACCACATTGAGAAAGTGGACAAGCATGAGAGTCAGAAAGGTGTGCCACTATCTATAATTATTGTGACAAAATATCTTTTCATTCATATACGGGAAAATAATGAAAACAAATACGTATGTGCATTTTTAATCCCTCGGTTATACAGGTATCACATTTTGATAACTTATCAACATGTATGTGATATTACTGTCATAAATGAGTATGTTTGCTCAGCCATGTGGTGGTTAATGGGTGATTGATAAAATGTTTCCTCGGTCTTGCCAGTGGTGAGTGAATGGTCTGGTGTACAGTATTACAACTGTAGAACAACAATGCTTTATTTAGTCAGAGGTATCAAATTCCTTTCATAAAATGAGAATGATCAGACTTCTTTGTTCTTCGGTTGGACTACTGTATACATAATGTAAATTATTAAAATATGCATTTGATTCACAGGAGTATGGTTATGTGATAGAAGTTGGTAATACTGTTGTATAGAGCAACTATGATCCCACTAATATAGAAAATAATAGTTAGAATACAGTACGTCATACAGTACTTCAGAAACAACTTGCCCTTACTTTAATTACTGCTAATGCTGTATCCTGATACCTAGCACCTTTTAGGTTGGATCATTGTTTAAAAATCTGGGGTATGTGACTTGGATATTGTGTTCCAGTATGTGTCAGTAAGTTAACTGGTTCATGTTCTCTACAGAGAAGAACTGTTCACAGATGTATACTCACTTAAAAATAGGAAGAGTTTTCAAAGTTAAATCTCATTATTTGGCCCTAATTGTTGAATAGCTTTTCCTCCATAACACTATAGACATAAACATCCTTGATATATCTAAAAGTTACCTGATGTGGCATTTAATTATGTGGAATGTTACTCATCCTGCTAAAGTTGTCATATCTTATTTCTGAATAAGCCCAATGATTGTTTTTCCAAAAATTGGTTATATTACTTGATGATCTGTATACAGTACAAGTTATGAGAATCTCTATGACTGATTTTGTACTTGAATTTGTATGATGTGATGGCTCCCCGAGAATTTTGAGAATTAGTGAACAAACAAAATTGAAAGAAAAATATGAAATTGTCATAAATTATGTTAAATGTTAAGATGAGCATTAAATTATTATTATTATATATTTTTATGAAGAAAATTATAGTACGGTAACCTTTGCATTGGCCAGGGTCAGAATGTTTACCTGTATCAGTTTTGGGAGTAATGTACTGTATATTCCCCAAGAAATTGCATACAGTGGTCCCTCGGTTAATGAACACAATTCGTTCCAGAAGGTTGTTCGTTAACCGAATCCATTGTTTCAATGGGATATTGGGTAATTGGTTCCAGCTCACTGAAAAGTACATACAAAGTAAAAAAAAAAATGTAGTAAAGTACACTTACTTTGAGGTGTGTATGTAGAAGGTTCCTGGTTGATAATGATGATGGGAATTAGAAGTGGGGTGGAGGAGAAGGGAGAAGAGAAGGAAGTGGGGATGGAGGAGAAATCACCTTTCAATGGACCCATGCTTGATGCCATCATTTCACCAATAAAATTTTAAGTTCACTAGATGTAATTCAAGATTATTTTCTTTAAATGAACACTGCACTGCGCTATATGTTATCAATATGTTAACTAAAGTTCGGAATGATCAATTATTTCAATGAAAATTGGAAAAATATTCAAGACACCAACAAAATAGATGTTCACTCCATTGTTTTCAAAGTCTCAACTGACGCCTCGTGACCGACTCACGCATCTGATGGGCGCACAACAAACTAGTTCCCTGTACTGCATATATTATCAATATGTTAAATAATTTTTAAAATGACTGCCGGGTAATAATTTTAATATAAAATATGCAAAAATATTATATAGCACAACTTTATTGATATTTACTCCATTGGAAACGAATGTAAACATAGAACAGATTACTGAATTGGCAGAATAGCACATCAGCTGATCAGCTGATGCTCACAACGAACCGTGATTTTCGTAAGGATTTCGTTAATCGAATTATTGTTCGTTAACCGAATTGAAGATTCTTATGGAAGGTAATTCGTTAACCGAAATTTCGTTAACCGAGGGACCACTGCATTCAGAAATATTCTTAAAAGAGCAAAGTGTCTCTGAAAGAAATGGATTGCAAAATAAAGTACGCTAACCATTTTTAGGGCCATTTATAATGCATTCATGTTTACATCACAATATGTTAGCCATGAAGTTCCGTCATAATGTGACACACACTTGAGTAGATGCATCAATTTGTGACATAACTGACAATATGCCAGTGAGAATGGATACTGCATGTCTCAGTATCATATGAAAATTTCTATCAAGAGATATAATACAAAGCTCTGCCTCTTCACTCCCTTCTATTAATAATGCTGTACTTAGCCCATCTTCCTAAAAAAACTAGCTAAGTCGTAATTATTGCATCATTTACACCTTGAAGGACACTACATGAAGAATGAAAACTGTGACCATTTTCATTTGTGAGTTGTTCAACAATTATAGATAGCATTATTATTACCCATCTAATTAGAATCCATCATTTAGAAATTAGATAAACTGGAATATTTAAGCTAATACCTTTGTTATTGCAAAATTCAAAAAAAGCACTTAAGTAATGAGAATTCAGTATGTAAATCTTTGAAAATTGACAGATAAGAATTTTCTTACAATGGAGAGTATAGCTACAGGTATTAGCTGATATACTTTTAATGTGGACAATGTGTGATGTGTATTAAAACATAACTGAGTACATAACTCAGATTTCTGGCATTGATTTAGTTTAAAAATCCCAAGAAAATTCTTGAATCTTACCCTAAAGTCTCAGAAAGCATCATAAATTCTGTACGACATAAAGGAAATATCTAATACTTTCCTTGCTGCTGATGTAGTAATTTCAAAACTGGATATCATCTTGTCTTGGAGCACCACAATCATGCAAGGTGTCCATGACAGCTGTATTATCAGTCTGAGAGGACCACCACACCCTAAACATCTCAATTTACTACTGGAAGTACAGTGTGTGTATATTGTAACTCGGGAATGTTTTAGATGTGTTCCTATCCAGTACATAATTTAGCAGACGTGTGAAACAAATACTGTACAGAACAACCAAAACAATCATCAACTGTTATTCATGAATTCCCTGAAGGTAGGAAGTGTTACTGAACTTAAATGAAACTTTATAGTTTTGTTGAACACAAAAGACCCATAACAGTGGAGTATCATAGTATAAACCTGTGTGAACCTGAGGGTTGTATGAAAAAAAAAATGTAGGGTTTAGATTCATTTATGCTTTCCATGATCAGGAGGGGAAAACATCATGGTCTTATTGTTCTTTATGTCTTAAATATATAAATAACACCTTTCTCATTTTCTTGAGAAACCTTTTTTTCTTTGGAAGTGAGAGATCCAGCTGTGAGATAAAAGATGACTACAATTGTGAGGTAGTCAAGCTAATTTAGTTAAACAGGATAAGATGTTGCATAGCTGTTATGTAATGGTAATACACCAGACCATTTGCTTAGTCACTGGTCATGAAGGAACATACAGTTAGCTTGATCAATTATTCACCTTCCATTTGATTATTATTTTGTGATTTAAATATTTTAGGATGTACAAATTTTACTTTTTACAGACATAATTAGAAATGGTAATGTATTCTTAGCCCAGTGGAGATTTAATACAGCTAAAATTGCCTTTTTAATAATTAGTTAACTGACATCTAACTCCACTAGTGTGCATGGTCCACTGATCCATCAATGTGTTTGTGTGGGTGTGTTAAATTTGTTTTCCTTGTATAAATTCTGGTTGAAGAGAAAATCTTTGTCTCTGTTATACAGTACAGAATACTGAATTACTAGAGTGTTGTATGATCTCCATATTTGTTTAAAATAAAAGTCATATACTGTACTGTACTATACTACTGTACTGTACTGGTGTTCTATTACACATTTTAAACTGTTGTATTCAGCTTCTGTATTAAAAAAGAACATGAATAATTTTTAACATGGGAAGTTATATATATACATACATATATATATATATATACTCTTACATACTTTGCTGTCACTCGGAATCAAGTGTGACGATCATCCAGCTGTGATACAATGATATGAGCTACGAAGGATGTCACCTTCGTTGGTGAGCTTGAGCTCGGAAGTGACTAGAGAGGCCAATATGGGACCAGCAGGATTGTCCACAGATGTTGCACGTGTGAAGGGCTACATCTATTGTGGGAGGGGTGGCGGAAACCTCTTTCCGGCGTTCGTGCTTGTCAGCCATGGTATGCAATCGGGCTAACTCGAAAGTATTGACACCTCGTGCGGTGCTCCTCCAAGCGTTATGATGTGGAGTAATCGTCTCCCAGGTGATGGGGTCGATTTGGCATTTTTTCAGGTTTGTCTTAAGTTTATCCTTATACCTTTTCAGTTGCCCGCCAGCGTCACGTTTACTATTCGTTAGGTGACTGTAAAGTAGCTGTTTGGCAGTCTACTGTAGTCCATGCCGGGAACATGGCCAGTCCAACGTAATTGTTCATGGATAATGGTAGCCTTGATGTTCCTACAGTAGGTGTCGGAGAATCCTTTCATTTGTTCTCTTGTCTTCCTAGTAAACTCAGAGGATAATCATAATAATAATAATAATAATAATAATTAATAGTTAACGGTTTATTGAAAGAGCATGGCACCCGGAAGGTTGAAAATATACAATTACATAATTGGGGAATGGGTCTCTTGATTTACAAATGATGTACAAGTAACATAAGTGATACAAATATGATATATAATAATTAGGTGTTGATAATTTTTACAATGGTTGGGACTGGGCTGTTCTTGTAGTAATCAGTTCGTGCTCGTATGGACACGTAGGATGGAACGTAGACTATGTTGGTGAAAGTTTTCAAGTGCTTTGAGGTGCCTCCTGTATGTAACCCATGTCTCACTGCCATATAGCAGGGTGGGGAGGACCACTGTTCGATATATGTGCAACTTTGTAGATAATTTCAGTTCCCTACAGCTGAAGACATGTGTATGGAGTCTGCTAAGGGCTTGAGATGCACATCTGATCTGATGGTGAATCTCTTCATCGATGTCCACTGTGGTGGACAGGTGGGAGCCGAGATACTGGAGGTGGGTAACATTAGAGAGCGTAGGACCATTAAGCTGGATGGATGGTGGAGGTGTGGCTGAACCAAGGGTAGGCTGAAAGAGAATCTGAATCTTACGTACATTCACCTCAAGGCCAAATTGTGCATATGCATCTACGTAGGTGTTCAGGATCTCCTGTAGGTCGCGTTCAGTGTGAGCAACAGGGGTGAGGTTGTCTGTATACTTAAATTCAATAATGGAAGTTATTGACACCTTTGTTCCTTCCTGGAGTCATCTTATGTTGAAAAGACCCTTCATCCAGTACTGGATGTGTACCCCACTGGCTAAATTGACACTGGCACGGGTAGGGAAGGCAGCCAAGAAAATAGAGTTGGTGCCAGTACACAATTTTGTTTTACCCCTGTTTGGATGGGGAAGAACTCAGACTGGGTGCCATTGTGCTGGTTACTGCCGTTCATGCCATCATGGAGTTGCCTCACAATGGCGATGAATTTTGGTGGGCAGCCAAAATGGCTGAGGGCTTCCCTCTTGACTGAGTTGAAGGCCTTGGTTAGGTCGACGAAGGCCATTTACAGGTCACGATGCTGTTCTCTGCACTTTTCCTGTATCTGGCGGGCAGCAAAGATCATGTCAGAGGTGCCACGTGATGGTTTTAAGCCACATTGAGATTCTGGGAGGAAGTTTACTGCCTCAGGATGAAGTCTGTTTAGGAGCAGTCAGGTGATACTCTTGCCAGCTGTGAACAGCAGCGATATCCTGCGGTAGTTGCCACAATCTGACCGGTCTCCCTTGTTTTTATAAATATTGATGATGGAAGCATCTTTAATAGCTTGGGGGATTTCCTCCTTTCCCATATATTCTCCAGGAGAGAGTGGAGACGGCTGGTAAGCAGAGGTCCTCCTGCCTTATACACCTCGGCTGGGATTCCATCAGGTCCTGAGGTTTTATTATTTTTCATCTGTTTGATGGCAGTAGCTACCTCGTCTAGGGATGGAGGATAACTGAGGTGGGTCAGCTCTGGATGCTGAAGAACCTTCAGGGTTGTCAGGACATCCACATCAGTGTTTCACTTAAGCAACGAGTGGTAGTGCTCTTTCCAGTGCTGAAGGATATCTTCTTTGTCTTTAATTAGGGAGTTACCGTCGGATGAGCGGAGAGGGCTGCCCCATGAGTGATTGGCTGTAAAATGTTGTAGTGGAATTGAAAAATTTGTGCATATTGTGTTGATCTGCACATGCTTTATTTTTAAACCAGTCATTCTTTAGATTGTGAAATTTGCGCTGGGCCGCCGCTTTCTTCTTGCGGAAGGTATCAGCTTTGGTCCAAGACTGAGGGTTGTTCTGCCAGTCAGTTAAAGCAGCACGTTTATCATCGACAAATACATTGATATCCGGGGCATTTTCATCAAACCTGTCCTGGTGTATTCTTTTGATCTGGCCGAGGGTCTCTCTTCAGATTTTTGTCATGACAGTGTCGAGAATACCTCATTCAGCACTGGGATTTGGGTTGTTTGTTGTTGGGTTGTTTCTCAGCCCATTTTCGAGCTGCTCTCTGAAAGCCATGAGCGTCCTACAGACGGTTAATGCTAAAACTTTTTCTGGAGGCTTGTTGCCTTTGCCTTTTGGGGCGACGTGAAGTGAGAGCTTGGCTCTGATGAGTTGATGATCAGTGTCACAGTGATCTGAGCCACGCATGGCTCGGGCGATGAGGACATCTTGGCGATCGCTTTCTCTGACAATGATGTACTCAATGAGATGCCAGTGTTTGTATCGTGGGTGTGGCCACGAACCCTTGAACCTGTCGTCAGCCTACCTGAACAAGGTATTGGTGATAGTGAGGTTGTGTGCAGCACACTTGTCTGTCGCTATAGGACTTTTTGGGGTATAGGGATTTTGATGATGAGAAGTATGATGAGCTGGATGGTGGCTGCGTATAAGTTGATTTATGTGGTGAGGCAGGAGCTCAGGTTGCAACCACACATCTTGGCTCTCCCTTATCCTGAGCCAGTGGTGCAAGTATTGCAATGACTGGGAAGAGGGAGAGTTGCAATGGGCTGCCTATACCCCAGTTGGTTGGGTTTTGCCTTAGTAGCCTGTCCATCATGCATTGCCCTCATCCGCCGGTGTAGTCGTTGGGTTCCAGTGTTGGTCACCTCTTCTGCCTATAATGCCATTGAGGTTTTGTTTGAGCTCTGTAAGCATGTCTGCCTCATGCGGGGCCCCATCGTTGATTTTTTGTTTGGGGTTTACTCCTGTTGTCTTATACCTACCAAGGTTAATCCACAAGCAGCGCAGCACTGGTTGGTAGGCGCCAGAACGTGTCCACATGCCAGTGGGTATGTGCTGTCCCTCTGGGGCCCACTGCTGCTCCGAGATTTCCTGCTGGTCTAGCCTAGGCCCACGAGGCTCCCAGGTACTGTGTTGCCACGAGGAGGCACAGCAGGAGTCTTAATGGTGAAGAGGCTGTGAACTGGCAGGGGAGGACTTATGCAAGTTGCTTCCCTGTTCGCCACAAGGGCTAGCCAGCGGTGGTAGCTGAAAGCAAGAGGAAGCAAGCAGTGCTTGCACCTTGACACTAACATAATGCTGCCACACTAGATGCATTACACCACCCTGTGTGCATGCACACACACACACACACACACACAGAATGGTGTTGGCAAACATACACATACAGGTAGTACCTAGTACTGTATATTAATTATCCAGCAAGCATAGCACTGAAAATAAACCAGTTTGGGGAATTTTCAGAATGTTGGAAATAATGGTAATAATAGACCTCGAATATAGGTATGTATACACAAAATATTAAATAAAGTAAGGGAAATTATGTCAAAGTTTACAGGATGTATTCCCCAGGTGACCTCTGGTTGATTATTTTTATTTATTTGATTACAAACATGATTAAAAAAATAATAATAAAGAAAGCAATTGATATTGTAATTATAAGAAATGTACAACTACTGATAATATAATGCAATATGCTCAGTGAAGGAAACATGCATTCTTGTATGTGAAGTGATGGTGAGTGGCTGTATTTGTGTGTAAAGCTGGCAGAGAGCGCTTGTCTTATTATGATACATTAATTAATAAAACTTACTCCTCTACACATTCTGTATATTAACAATGTGTATCCAGGAGTAAGTTTGGTAATTCATAATGCAATGTGTTCAATATTAGAAAAATAAACCTGTGTGTGTGTGTGTGCAGCGAAGATATACATGATGAAGAGGTGGTGGATGCTGCCACTGACTCACTGTCAGAATTATTGAGAATTTGATATTTCAGTGAAATAACCAGTACAGTACAGTACAAGTAAAGTGGGTACACCTGTATATGGAAATTGAAATTTTCTTATATCTTTCTGCTTGTGAATGCCTTTTTATGAAACAGTTTCACCATTAAACTTAATGGGTGCTGTTTAGTGGCCTTCAAATCATAAATAGCAAAGAATACATTAAATTGGAGGATGAAATCCTTGGATAATTCTAAACCACAATGTCTCTATGGTAAAATGTCAGATTCTGCATATGCCCATGTGTTCGCGACAGGTGTGAGCAAATTAAACATAGTCCAGGCATTCTGGAATGCATCAGACAATAAATGGTACAATGTGTACAGTCCTGCATTGAGGCAGAAGGAGGCAACTTTGAACATTTCCTTTAGGTTGTAACAAGGAGGGGTCACACTAGAGATCTGTGATAAATGATTACAAAAACCTATGGGGGTTTCACTTCAAATTCACTCTCATTAATACAACATCTTAAATGTATTGTAACATGGAAACTATGCAGAATCTGACATTTTACCATAGAGGCATTGTGGTTTAGAATTATCCAATGGTTTCATCCTCCAATTTAATGTACTCTTTGCTGAATCACCCTGTTTATTCCTACATGAATTTGTTTGCATTCTCACCTACATCCACCTACTTGTGTATTTTTAATGTAACTCTCTCCTTCTTTTGAGTAGATGATGCTGGAGTAATGTACCAAAGGAGTAACACCAAGCCAGTTTAAACACACTGAACAATTATTTATTGTGCATTTAAAATGGTTGGAGTTTGGAGATTTTGGAAGTGTGGAGACATGGATAATTGATACACTACCATACCTGTATGTACTGTATATGTGTGTGTGCGTGCGCACGCACCTTCATCTTAAATGTGCTTCATATGCTTCCATTATTATGCTAAAATGCTACAGCAAAACTTTGCTTTATGCAGATTACACACAGGGCTTTGGCGGCAAATTTGGTGTGCAGTCTGATCGGCAGGACAAATCTGCTGCAGGCTGGGACCACATAGAGAAAGTGGAAAAACATGAAAGTCAGAAAGGTGAATTACTGGTATTCATATTATGTTATTAATTCTGAAATCATCTTCTTATTCATTAGTGTTATAGTTTTCCTGTACAGTATGGTGCCATATTTATATTCCTAATGTCACTTTTTTCTCTTGTGTGATCATTTGAAGCAGCATTTGGAAAATGTAACTCTGGAATAGATTTTGTTAAATATTTTTTATTAATATGAACCAAGTTCTTATACAGGAGTAGAATTGACTTCATTTTTTTTCCTTTTTCTATTAAAAGTTGTACTGAATTTCATGTACAGTAGAACGTCGATATAACACGAGATACGCTCCAAGAGAGGTCGCTTTAAACCGAATTCGCACCAAATCAAAGTGTTGTTTCAATGAAATAATTTAGTTTGGTACTTGAGAGAAACACAAAATACTAAAAAGACTGAGAGTCTACCCAGATGCACCTCAGCCTCTCCTAGAATAAACAACATAATGTTTTTGTAGTGTTATGCCAAAACAAACACTCATAAATCAACACAGCTAAAATTAATGGACTCGAAATGGTCTGTTTATTAGCAATCGGTTGATGTGAGAGGGTGGTCACGCTGGCTCCGCACACCACCCGCCTCTCGTCTGACTCACCAAGCACTTTCACTTACCTCTCAACTTAGTTTTTAATTACTTTATGCTATCAAAAATAGACTTTCACTCAACTTTACTTAGGCAATTTATCCTCTGAAGATGCAAAGCCCAACTCGACCAGCTCATTATCCACATTACTGTCCAAATTGGCGCCCCACACTGAAGCACCATTTCCTCGCAGCAGCACTTCCAGCACCTTGATTTTCTGCTCCAATGTAATTGCTTGCCTTGATTTCATGGTCTTTGGGGTAGTTAATGATGTAGTAGCTGGCCTCTTTGGCATAGTGGCGATGGTTGATGCATGTGGTAGAAGGAGATAGTGTCACACAGAATGTCCGTTCACTAGAGTGTCAGTGCGAGAACTGAGGATGCGGGAGGGTGGCGGGCAGTTGTGTAGCGTGTCCAGAGATGCGTCTGGCGGTAAATATTAGGCACAAAATTTAAAATAGTGTGAATTTCCACATGATGCGCCAGATTGACTAGCGTAAAATAGGAAAGATTCACTTTAAATTAATACATTGTCCTTAATTGTGGGGGTCGCTTTAAATCAATAATTTTAAATTGAATCGCTTTAAATCGACGTTCTGCTGTAGATTCACAATGGAAATGTGGGCAAGATAAATCTCGATAAAATCACACAATGTCTTGAATGAAGACGAAAGCTAAGGTGATCCATTGTTTCCCTTTTCCTGTGTGGTTTTATTGAGATTATACTGTATATTAATTACTGTTTCAATCCTCAGATTATGTTGTTGGTTTTGGGGGCAAGTATGGTATCCAAAAGGATCGACAGGATAAGACTGCTGTTGGATGGGACCACATTGAGAAAGTTGAGAAACATGAGAGTCAGACTGACCATTCCAAGGTTAGTTGATTGTTGATTATTGCACTGCAAGTACCAGATCAGTTTGTAGATGATGCTGTTTTGCTGTTGGAGTCAGAGAGAGAACTGAAGAGAATGTTAGCAGGGCACAAAACCTTACTCCTATGCTTATACTGTAAATATATACAGTAAACCCTCCCAATGCCAGGCTGATTCATGCAAGCCCTGTCCCTTTTTGAGAAGGTTTCTTTTTCTTCCCCATGAACACATAAAATACTACAATAAAAATTTCACATAACATTTCCAACCATAAAAATGCACATCTTAAATGGTACATTTGAGGATCAAGACTTCAAAATATTTGGTCACATAGTTTAGGTTTTGAGAATTTCCACATTTTCTTTGATTCTACCGTAAGCACTTTGATTCCTTTTTGCATTACTACAGTCAGTACCATCACTTTTGTGTTTGTTTTTGAGACATTTTAAGGTCAGTACACCTGGTCACGAACAGACAGTTTTCCCATTATTAGATCTTACTGGCTGAGTCCACTAATTTCAGTACACCAGAAAAAAGGTGTTCTTTATCAGGAATAACCTTTATTGATAGAATTTACTTTATGAAGTTTATTCAGAAGTCCTGTATAACTTACGTTCCTGCATAATGCCTAGTTGTGGAAATATGTATTATGTGGAGATTGAAATACTGTACAGTAAAACTTCAATAGTTTGTAACTCATGATTTGTAATTTGTCATTATTCAGCTATTTTCAGAAATTCGTAACCTAATATCCCTAATATCTCATTCGTCACCTAATATCCCATAAAATGAACAAGTACAGTATAGTAGAACGTCCATATAACATGAGATACGCTCCAAGAGAGGCCACTTTAAACCAAATTCGCACTAAATCGAAGTGTTGTTTCAATAGAATAACTTAGTTTGGTACTTGAGAGAAACATAAAATACTAAAAAGAATGAGAGCTTACCCAGATGCACCTCAGCCCAACTCCTAGAATAAACATAACATTGGTTTTTGTAGTATTATGTTAAAACAAACACTCGTAAATCAACAGCGATCAGCTGATGGGTAGATGGGGGGGGGGAGAGGTGAGGTGATATGTTTGACAGTTGATGCCAAGGTCTAGTGCTTATTTATTTATCTGTCCTTAAGAGTGACTTTAAGTTTTCTCTTATAAAATGTCACTGAATTGACATGGGAGAATATAATTAACATTGCTGGAATTTTTATAAGATAGTGATTAGTTTGAATTTATGCATGCTATAGTTTGCATTAGACATACAAATTTTAGTTCTAATTCATTTCATTACATGACTGTATAAATATAACTAATAGGGATTCCTTCCATAAACTATTCTCTTTTTTTTTCAATCAAGTGGTTAATTGATATATAGTAAACACATACAGCACAGCATTACCGTAATTATTAATATCCTTAAATTTTAGCATCTTCAATACACTACAGTATAGTAAACTGGTCGTTTGTGTGGTCCCCAGTACCCAGAGGTTTTATTTTAGTGGTGATGGAGACCCCCCATAGTATATGGCAGTAAATTAAGTGTTGATAAATAAGAATAGTAGATTTCTTCCATTGCTGCTATAGTGAGTGACTGTTGAGTGTGTACTCTGAATGATATAAATGTGGTGTCTCCAGTTTAGGTAGTCATCAACAACAACACCCAAGAAATTTAGTACAGTTCTGTACAGTACTTTGTTCACTTTTGATAATTATATTGCCAGTGGGGTGTGGGTCCAGTTCTGAGGGTAAGCTTTTCTTTCTGTGAAAAGATTGCATAGTGAGTACAAGGTTTATATTACATATTATCCAGTTACTGAGTTTTGTTACCCGGTAATTCAATATTTTTTATTCTTATATTGATAACTTTTATCAGGGCTTTGGTGGCAAATTTGGAGTGCAGAAGGATCGAATGGACAAGACTGCTCATGTCTTTTCAGAGCCACAGGGTGGAATTGGAACTAACTATGAACCAACCAAGCCAGAAAAACCAGGTACTGTATATTTATACTATGTGCTTCTATGATATTTTTAAATAAGAGAGACATAGGTACGCTTTTGGTGGTTTCCAACTAATATATGATGTGTTTTGTGTGAATATCTAGTATGCACTTGATTACTGTATTGTTAAATGTAACTACAGTCAACCCTCACTTTACGCGGTTAATATAACCCACAGGGTACCGCGGAAAATGAGAAACTCGTAAAGTGAACAACATAACATGTGGGATTAATTGAAATAGAGACCGGGCCGACCCCCAAACTCCACTTTTTGATGACACACAACTATGTTGTAGTAAAAATTTTATCTTAACTTTATGATGGTATGCACACACAAGTAATATAGAAGAGGTTAGGTTAGGAAAAATAAGGTTAAGTTAGGAAAAATAAAGGTTAGGTTAGGAAAACTAAAAGTTAGGTTGAACACTTACGTTAGTCGAAGAGATGGGTCGGCGTACGGGGATGGAGGCTGGTTCCGAGGCAGAGGGCAGGCTACTGGCCCTCAGGTGAGTCACCATCAGTCATCCACACTTGTCAGGGCCTCCCTGACAAATCCCTCAAAGTCATCTTCACTGTCTCTACCTCTGTCACTATCACTGGCTTGGGCTGGCTGTGGTGGGTTGCGGGCGAAGAACTCTGATATGCTTTGCTGACGGCTGGTGTTTATGTTATCGTGATAAACCTTGAAGTAGGGCTCCATAGTCTGCAACAGCTGGGTAGTGACGATTTCATACCTGTTTGCGTCATGGTCGTCGGAAAGGAGGAGCTTGATTTTCTCGACACACTCGATGGCACCCCTAACATTACTATGGGATAAGCGGTGTTCTTCTTGGGATGACGCACCACCTGCCTCTTCACTGACGTCATCATCATCTACCATCCCGTCGGTAGTCACATCAGGATCCCTTATCACCTCCAGGATGTCGTCGTTGGTGGTCTCGGAGAAGCCTGCAGCTGTAACACTCTGCGCAGCTTCTCTGGCAAGGTCCACTGCTACTGTAACAGTCTGAACCTCACCAGTCACAGATTGACTCTGCCTTACGCCCGGAATGCCTTGCAGCACGTCTCCATGCGTGACGAACAGTTGCTACAGACAGCTGATCCCATGCCTCCACCAAGAAGTCCACAGCTTTCTTGATGTTAAATATTCTCCAGAATTGTTTGAAAAGTATTTTTTGCTCTGCCAACTGTTGATCCTCGTCTTCTTCGCTCTTGCTATCGGTGGTGGTGTCACTCAGGTTACGCAACTCTTCCCTGGTGTTGGTGTAGTCGTTCAGGAGCTGGAATTTTTTTGTTGAGAATGCAGCTTTTACATTGCAGATTAACTCTTGGTCCATGGGCTGTAATATAGACATAGTGTTGGGAGGAAGGAAGACCACTTTTACGTTGGGGTGACGATCTAACAGTAGGGGCGAGTGTCCTGGTGCGTTGTCCAGCAGCAACAAAATCTTGAATGGCACATTCTGTTGCTCACAGAATTTCTTTACATCGGGAACGAAACAGTCATCAAACCATGGGCCTTACGTGCGGTCAGCCAGTGGACATTTAGCTTGGTCATGTCCATGTTCTTGTAGGCGTGCGGCTTGCGGGCTGTGTGGATCACCGATAACTTGAGTTTACAGGTACCGGAGGCATTGGTGGTAAACAGGACGGTGATGCGCTCCTTCTGCATCTTCCGGCCCCGAATCTTGCTGGCATTCTTCACAACGAAGGTCTTGGAAGGTAGCTTTTTCCAAAAAAGACCAGATTCGTCCATGTTAAACACCTGGTCGTCGGTGTACTGTCCTTCCTCCATAATCTCACGTAAAAACGGAGGAAATTCCCTAGCCGCAGCACAGTCAGCACTGGCTTCTTCACCACCAATGTTTATATTGGTGATCTTGTTCCGCATCTTAAACCTCTGTAACCACCCAGAGGAAGCATTAAAGGGTTTGGGCTCTGTAATTCCCATCTTTCGTGACACTGCAGCATACAGTTCACGTGCGTACTCCTTAACAGAGCGGGTGTCGACCTCCATGTTCCGTCGCGCCTGACGCACCAAGTAGCTCACAAGTAATTTTTCTGTCTTGAGAAGCACCTGGTTGTGAAAATACTTGATCATAGAAGCACCTGTAGACTTTGTGATCTTCATGTGCTCCTTTATCTTGGCTGCATCCTTCTTTATCGTCCGGATCGTAGATTCGTTCACACCATGCTGGCGCGCCAAATCAACCTGTCTTGTTCCTTTCTCTAACTCTTGGATGATCTTGTACTTCACCTCGTAGCTTAAGGAACGTCGTGTCTTCTTTGGCTTAGGGCGGCTGGGTCCAGGCAAGGAAAGGTTTCTCTCTGGGGGTGGTGGTCCGGCGGAAGCCATTTTACAGAACAATGGATGCACGATTACACGGTGTGGCCTGGAGGGATGAAACTGCCGCGGCTAGGTCAAGCGTCGTCTTTCCTCCCTCCCTCCCTCCCTCCCTCCCTCCCTCCCTCCCCCGGGTGGACACGTCATATTACTTTAAACCAATTACAGCTAGCAGCGGAGGGAGGTAGGGATGCATGGCCAATCACAGTCCGATACGTCATATGACGTCAGTAATAACGCAACAGAGACATGCACTGTGCAACCTTACCGCGCGGCTTGGCCAGGCGGAAGCAGAGGAGGGAGGAGGCGGGAGCAGGCGAGTGGGGCGAATCTAAAAATAGCGTCGAGCCGGACACTCTCCGCGTAAGGGGGTACACGCACCGCGGAATGTGAACATCCTGGGCTCCGGCAGGGCACCGCGTAAACGTGGAAACGCGGAATGTGGGACCGCGTAAAGTGAGGGTTGACTGTATTTTCATGATATTATAAAAATTTATATGATATACAGTAGTACTTGTGCTTCATTAGGCTCCAACCATAGTGAGCAAGCACTATTTTTTCTGTCTCTTTTTCCTCTTTTCCCATTTCTAACCATTGTTTTCATACATGTGCATCTTTAATTTTTGACACTGGATGAAGTTATTTTTAAACAAAACATAAAAGGTAGGTGTTCATCCTGACCTCAATTTCCACCTAGACTACAAGTTGAGTTACAGTTTAACATCCATTTCCACTCATTTTGAGGATTCAGTTATTTCAGTTCTGCAAAAAATATAAATAAAATGTCTGTTAACTCCATATTTTTTCTTGCGCTTTGTCCACTCTGGTTGTACGTGCCTCAAATATTATTTATGACATGTGAGCCGAGTGTGTGTGTAGTGGTGGAGGAGAAGTGATTGTGGTGGTGTTAGGGAAATGATTGTGGTGGTGCTAGAGAAGTGATTTTGGTGGTGTTGGGAAAGTGATTGTAGTGGTGTTGGGGAAGTGATTGTGGTGGTGGTGCTGGAGAAGTGATTGTGGTGGTGGTGTTGGAGAAGTGATTGTGGTGGTGTTAGGAAGTGATTGTGGTAGTGCCGGTACTGGAGAAGTCCCTCCTCTGTACACCACTGTTTGGCCTTAAGCAGCTCCAGTGTGGAGGCATGTGCTGGTTCCCTTAGCAAGGGCGGATCCAGGAATCTCAAAACCAGTGGCGTACCGTGGTTGCACTGATGAGGCATGCAGAACACCCACATATATCAGTTATCAAATCAAATATCAAGTAGCATATGGCCTTTCTCTAAATAAGGGTTGTCAAGCATTTATAAAAACCAAAGAAACTGTACTAAAAATAAAATATCTTACCTCAAATCATTTTGAAGTCAAGAAATATTTACTTGTTGTTAGGTGTTTTCTTGAAGGGAAGGAGAAACACTGTGTAATAGCCGATAACTTTAAAGTAGAGATGCTTACTCCAGGCCTGATAGGGAGTAACTGGCCGCTGGCGTGTAGACAGCAGACTCTCCGCTACCAGGGGTTGCCAGCTAGCGTCAACATAACAATAATGTCTACATCTTACAACTCCTCCCAAGATTGGATGAGGGCAACAAATATAATGGCACTTAGACAATCTGACTAGAGACAAATGCAAATAACATAAACAATGGGAAATGCCTAAACCTACAACCTAATAACAAAAAGAAAAAGTTTAAAAGGAAATGACATGACACAGCACATACCACAACGGCATATATAAACAGGAAACATCACACTAAAAAAAAGTCCGATAGCCATTGAAGCTTTGTTATATGTCTCCGGGGATGGGCTGGCTTGAGCTACTGTGGTACAGGTGACGGTGGTGAACCAGCAAAACCTGACAGGGTGGGCGTTGGGATGGGCTGGACTGGCGAGGGCCGGCCATGACCCTCAGGTGGCCACGGGTCCTTAGCGAAACGCGGCCACTACCATCTATCCGCACTGTGTGCTGACTGTTCTGGAGGGCCTCTATGACAGTCCCTGACCTGTCCCAGGCTTTAGTGACCTGATTCTGGACCCGGACACGGCTGCCAGGCACCAAGGGACAGCGATGGCGGATGAAACCCCCACGCTGTCGAAGGACCTCCTCGTGGTCTTGAGCCATCTGAAGTTTTCATCTGTGGAGTGTCTCTCCATTGTCTGTCGATTTTGAAATTCTGTTTGGCCTTGGGGACACCATCACGGAGCTGTTGACCTGTTGCCAGCTGGGCCAGGGACTTGTTTACGCCACGCAGGGGAGTGTTGAGATACTGGAGAAGGGCGAGAGATACCGTGTCGTTATCGAGGCTCCCATTAGCCCGGTGTTGTTACGGTGCACCCTCTTCGCAGTCTTCACCGTGGCATCTGCCCTGTGATTGGACTGGGGGTATTGTGCAGAAGACAGACGGACAGCGATGCTCCTCTTCCGGAAGAATTCCACCACTTCCTCACTGACCAGGTTAGTGCCACCGTCCGTGGATATCTGCGCAGGTGCACCCCACCTTGTGAAGTAGCGTCTAAGCTGAGCCATAATCTTGCCGAGGAGGTGCCACTGGGAAGTGAGCGATCCGGCTGGAATATGTCCACCACCGATGCTGAAAGGGGCATTCAGGGGGTGGCGTCAGGAGCAGTGGCTCAGGTGTGTGGGTGTTGCAGGTGTCACAGGAGGACCGATGATATTGCAGATCGCCCTCCAGTCCTGGCCAGTAGACAGTTTGCCGGCCCTTCTGAGCATAGAGTCAAGACCCTGGTGGCCTTTATGCAAGTTAGCAGCCACCTGGTGACGGAAGCTCTCAGGGATAACCAGACGTACACACCCTTGGTCGAAGGTGTAGGTCACCAGGCCACAAGATGTGGACAGCTTGTCCCTGACATTGTAGAATGGCCTTAGGCAGGCAATCTCCTGCAACTTGCGGGGGTGCCAGTCGTCAGCCAACACAGGATCCTCGAGTGACTCTCGGAGGACCATCTCCACTTGTAGGGTGGGATGGGAAAATCATTAAAGTATTCTAATGTCACACTCTCCCCAATGTGACGTCATGGCATACCCACAGCGTTTCGACCACAAGTCTCTTAAGTCAGCTGGGTAGTTGCCTGGCTGAAGTCATCCACTCTCACTGTCACCCATAGGATAGTTTAAGGGTAGAAGAAGCTATTTTTTGTACATAAAGTATGTGCTATTATATTTTAAGATGTGCTATGTATCATTTTCATTGTTTATTTAAGGAGTTTTTATTCATTTTTGGTCTATTTAAAATACAAAATAATGAAGGATTGGAACCTTTTCCCTTTTATTCATTGTTAAATCTACCTATGGCACCAATTTCCCCAAAATGAAGTGAATTTCGTGAACATATCCACTTCATTGCCAGAGGTATACTGTACACATCCACATCATTCACTATCATACTACAAAGGGCCATGTTGACCCAGTGCACTTTATTACCAAAGTATGTTCTATGGTGATGCCACATGGCTGAGATCATGTAATTCAATAATAATTAATCGATCAGTACCAGTGGTGTTTTTTTTACAGTGAGAGGACATCAGTAATGTTCACATTGTACTCTGTTTTGGTGTGTATGAAGTGATTCTTGTTAGATTTTTTGTGACTGTAAAGTGTTTTGGCCTGGTGATTACCATCATTCATGTGGATTATTTACATCGTTTAAGTGGAATATCGTAGATAAGGCGATTGTAGTTTGGGAGATAACTGTATTTATATTATATTTTCTTTATTTCAAGTCAAATTAGAGCTTTGAAATGATATTTTCACCACTTTTATGGTTTCTTATGTAACCAAACACTGCAGCAGCTGGTGCTCGGCCTCAAATTATGAATGAAATTTTATTATTTTTGCGGAGATGTGCTTTCTGCATTAAAATGGTATAGAGTGCATGATTTATTATCACCATATTGAAATGCTTTGTTATCACAAGGATTCATTCATAAATGTATCTGTGTTGTGCTTCCTCTCACCAGCGTCAGTAAAGGCATCAAGTCTGCGTGCCCGTTTTGAAAACTTAGCTGTGAATGAAGAAGATGAAAGAAGGAAACAGGCAGAAGAGGAAAGGAAGAAACGCTATGAGGGTGATGCAGCAATGATTCAAAAGGAGAAAGTTAAATTTCATGAACAGCAACAACAAGAGGAGGAGAGGCTTAGGAGACAAAATGAAGAGGAGGAAAGACTGAGAGAACAACGAAGGAAAGAGATGCTGCAACAACAGAAAGACCTGGAGATGGAGAACCAGCTTAAACAACAAGTCAACTTGGAACTAAGGTACGTATGTTGTTGATAAATATTTAGATTGATTTTCCTTGTTTGGTACAGAACAGTTATCTATGCTGTATTCTCTTAAACTTTTTTTATTGTCTTACTGAATTTGCTATTTATCCTATTGAAGCTTACTGCACCTGTTTCACCTCATTAATATATGTATGTGGAACTGGAGTCATGGTGATGGTGGGATAGATTTTACGTATACTGTTACATTGACCAATTAATGCCTGGAATGTGTTACTAAAAACGAAGAAGTATTCAAAACACCACTAAGTTACGTAATTATGACATAATTTCAGTGGAAATTTGAGCTAGACAGCAACATTCCTTACCTATAAGTAATATATTAGGGTTTCATTTGGGATATTGGTAATAGAACAAATTTTGATTGTGTACTCATTATAGATGTTTTAAATTAATTTATAAATAAAAAAATAATTTTAATTATTGATAAAAAGTACAATAAGGTACAGTATTGTACTTACTAATTCATTCAGTTTTAATTGTGTAAGAGAGCAATGGGTTCGGGATATTGAACCTAAGTTAAAACTTCTTCGAGATACACTCATTCGTGTTCTTGTGAATTCTTGCCACTTTGCCTTTCGGCTATTTCAGCCAACGTTCATCTAATGAAAGGTATTTAAAAAATGCGACCCAATCCTAACTTGGAGGTCACCTGTATAATAATTCACATTTTACAATACTGAACAATATGTCTGGGGTTTACAAATGTAAAATTTGACTTGAGAATGAGGACCAGGAATGTAATACATTCATAAGCAGAGGACTACCTGTGCAGTATAGGGAGTACAACCACAAGTAATTTTTTTAAATCTCTTTATTTCTTATTAAATAAAATTAAATGTATCAACTTAGAAGCATAGATAGACAATCCTTGAAGTGAATATGTCACATAACTCAAAGTGATACAATAACGATCATACTATATCCAGAATATGTCAGTTTATCATATCATATATGATTTCTTTGTGGTGCATTGACTACCAGCTGCATGATGTTTCCAACCTTATATTTCATCAGTGGTTTTGTTATTTCTGTAGTTCTATCTTCACTAAGCTCACTTTCAGTACATCATTATGTGCTGTCACAGGAAAAATAGTTGATCTATTGTGTTTCCTCTCAAAATACTGCACTATCAAATTGCTGCTACAAGTTGACCCTCTCTCATCCTGGTAAATAGATAGTTGATAATTATTCTAAGCTACACTTAGCAGCCTAATACCCCATAATATTTATTTGTACGGTATATAAATTTGACACACAACATGGTGAACATATTAGTGAATAAATAAGTAATGAGACAATAACACTTAATAAATATATAATAAGTGAAAAAATTTGTGTTTGTGTGTGTGAGATGATGATGATGATGTGTGAAAATATTATAACACCACTTCCACATTTATGAGTATATATTACTGTTCTTTAATATTTATGCATATCAGTGACATATGCTTTAATTCTTTTGAATGTTTAGACAGTGTGAAAATCATGGCAGTGATGTGTCCATTGAATGTAAAAAGGATTCGTTGGCAGCATCCATATGACAACTGTTGTTTATAATCATTTGTCTGGATTGCCGGTAACGAATCATCCAGCAGCAAGGTCATATTTTTCTTAATAACATTCTTTTGCCATGTTTTAAATATCTGATACCAATCAGTTTTATAAAGTAAATGATTCTGAGGCAATCTGCAGTAATACATCTTAAATAACTGGTCATTAAAAGAAATCTGTCAACTGTTTACCATACAGTGTTACCAGATCACCTGGCTCAAATCATGCACATAGGGTTGAAGTTAATTTATGCTTTTAACTCTACATTCTCTCCAGTACACACACACATACATAACATAATGGTTGCCCCTCGTGTAAGGATGGCTGGCCCAAGGGCCACCTAGGCATAAATTTATTTAAGGTGTAGAAGCTGTTGCCAACACAACAACCACACCTTAAGTTAACAAGCTGCATGACCCAGTGTCAAGGAATAGTCCGAGAAGACCGGACAACTCCCCAACTGCACTGGCTAACCATTATCCTGGAATGCAATCTGCAAATCGATTAACTTCCAGGTACCCAATTACTGCTGGGTAGACAGAGGCAAATGCCGTAAAGAAACTAGCCCATAGTTTCACCCTGCCCTGGGATCGAACCCAGGTCTGTTCGCTTGCGAGGCGAGGATGCTGACCATTACACACACACACACACACACACACACACACACACAATTATAATGTGTTACTGAATGCTAGTCATCGCATTGCATCTAATGTAATGGTCATATTCCTATAGGGAAGCAACAGCAAACCCAACTCCAGCAGAGGACCTGGGATCTCAGAATAAGATGGAGCAAAAAGTGGCAGCAAAGAAGCAGGTAAGTACCCTGTAATTCAGGTACTGTATCTCACAACCCTGTCAGCCTTCACACATGCAAGGTCATGGTTGCTAGACTAGTTCATTGATAAAGATATCCATTTTGTGTCACTGATAGTGCAATAGTTTATATTTTAGAATGGATAAAAAGTGCCTTTTGGATCACAAAATATATTGGCCAAAATTAATATTTTATTATTACAACAATTAGTTTCATGTTCGTATTTATTGTCAATTCACAGAAAAGGTTATATTTACTGATGAAAGTTTATGATTAATTAGTAGCTAGAGATCATTTTCATATATTTAACTTTATATTGTACTGTACGAAGTTCTTTTCCAGTTTTCATAGACTGTCAGGAATTATGTTAATGGGTACCATTCTTTGGTTACGTATATCAAAATGGTTGTTGTTAGTCACATGCCATCGTGTTTTGGGTTTTTTTTACCAATGAGAGTTCAGAAAAGGATTGATTCTTTCCTGAAAGTGTGACATGAGAGTTTTTTAAAGATTTTCAGTTCTTAGTAATGAAATTTTTTTTAATCAATTTAATTTTACAAATTTGTTTTGTAGTATAATGTTGTTGTGCTACTTTCTTTTGGTCATTTACTTTTCAGTATACAGTAAACCCTCACACTTCCGGACAATTAGGGAGGAGAGGGCATCTGGATGTGGCAAATGTCCAGATGAACTGGGTGATGAAGGCGCGTTAACAGTTATCATAATATTGTACATGGATTGCATTCATAATAACAATAATAATATGGTATTAATAATAATAGTAATGGTATTAAATAATAATACAGTAATGATAATACAGTAATAACAACTATAATAATACAGTAGTACCCCGATTTACGCGGTCAATTGAACCCACGGGGACCGCGGAAAGTGAAAACCGCGTAAAGTGAACAACAGAACATATGGGATTAATTCCAATAGAGACTGGCCCGACCCCCAAACTCCACTTTTTCCGACACAATACCGATATTGTAGTAAAAATAACATCTTAATTTTATGATGGTATGCACACACAATTAATATTTAAGAGAAATACAGTCGCCAGGTTAATGTCCATTCAAATAATGGACTCAACTCCCCCCTCTTCCCAGCTCACTGGCTCCTACCTCTCTGAGAAATGTTTGGGTGAAAACACTAGATTTTAACGTTTAGTAATAAATAATACCTCAGACTAAAGTTAGGATAATATAATTGACATTTCTGGATTCCTTGCAGGTCAGGGAATATTTTGAATGTAAACTTCATATATTTTGCACAAAAGATAAAATATTTGCTTTGTGTAAACCAAATTATTACATTAGATCTAAAATTTGTATGTCTAATGGAAAATCCATGATGTTTATATTCAAAATGATCATCATATTGTAAGAATTCCAGCAATGTAAATTATATTCTGGCCGAGTAATTTGTATGAATTTTATGAGCTAAAACAAATATTTTCAGTTCATAAAAAAAAAATTATTCTTCACAACACTATCTGTCAATCAAAGTACCCCATCTTGCCTCCCCACCCCTCCTCACACTCACGCCAGCTGGGTCGGTTGGTCCCAACCCTCCCCCCCACCCGTCACCTTCCCTCCCTACCAGAGAAATGTTTGGGAGAAAACAGTATCTTTACATTTTTAGTAATAAAAAATAACTCAGACTGAAGTTAGGATAATATAATTGACATTTCTGGATTCCTTGCAGGTCAGGGAATATTTTGAATGTAAACTTCTTATATTTTGCACAAACTATAAAATATTTGCTTTGTGTAAACCAAATTATTACATTAGATCTAAAATTTGTATGTCTAATGCAAAATCCATGATGTTTATATTCAAAATGATCATCATATTGTAAGAATTCCAGCAATGTAAATTATATTCTGGCCGGGTAATTTGTATGAATTTTATGAGCTAAAACAAATATCTTCAGTTAATAAAAAAAAAAAAATTCTTCAAGGACACTATCTGTCAATCAAAATACCCCACTTCCGCCCTAGCTGGGTCGGTCCCTCCCTCCCTCCCTCCCTCCCTCCCTCCCTCCCTACCAGAGAAATGTTTGGGAGAAAACAGTATCTTTACATTTTTGTAATAAATAATAACTCAGACTAAAGTTAGGATAATATAATTGACATTTCTGGATTCCTTGCAGGCCAGGGAATATTTTGAATGTAAACTTCATATATTTTGCACAAACGATAAAATATTTGCTTTGTGTAAACCAAATTATTACATTAGATCTAAAATTTGTATATCTAATGCAAAATCCATGATGTTTATATTCAAAATGATCATCATATTGTAAAAATTCCAGCAATGTAAATTATATTCTGGCCGGGTAATTTGTATGAATTTTATGAGCTAAATAAAAAATTATACTTCACCGCGTATATGAGTAGATGCACCGTGGAAAGTGAAAGTCGGTTCTGGCGAGGTACCGTGTAAATGAGAAATGCGATAGAAATCTGAGAAATCGCGGAAAGTGAAACCGCGTAAAGCGTGTAAAGCGGGGTAATACTGTACTCTACAAACGGCACGCGGTGAGTAGTGACGGGAGATGTGGACAGGGTCCTTTTTAGCAGCGGGGGTAGTAAACATGGCATACGGACTGAGAGAAAGAGACTGGATATGAATTTGCCACATCCTGATGTAGTCTGGACCAACCGAAATCCAGATCTGAGAGGTCCAGAAGTACAAGGGTTTACTGTATCATGAAACTTTGTAACATTTTCATTAATATGGACTGGATATAAATATTGTCAAGTGTAAAGTATTAAAATATATTTTAGTGTGCTGATGGGGTAATTTATATGATTAACAGACAGTTGACCATAACTCAGATCATGTTACAAAGGATATAAAAAGGATATAATGGCTTTCTGCAAAGTTTATATGTTATTCAGTTGGAATGATTTAATTATTTTTTCTTTTCACTGTACACCGTAAGGCATAAATGTTATTGACATAGATTATTAGTTAAATATGTTTGTCATGACCTTGCATGTATTGGCAAACAGGTGTGATAACCAACAGTTTTCACCCTGCATTTGCTATCTCTTGTGCTATTGGCTTTATCAACTACCAGATGCTAATTTATGTACATTATTGTTATCCCAAGCAATGTTCTCATACATGAATCTCCCTCTTGAGCCTTTCATGCAAAGCAAACAAGTTGAACCACATGTGTTACATAATCAGTTGTAAGAAGAACAAAATTACTATACTATTGTTGAAATAAATATTGTCTGTATTTACACTGCATCAAGAAAAGTAATTGTCTGTCTTTTTTAAATTTTGCCTGTTTCATAGAATCAAATATTGTATGCAACAATAATTTTCTACTGAAATACTACGTCGTATCAAGCATTAAAATTAAAATTTCACCTTGCTTTTCCAATGTGAATGGAGTGGCTATATTGGGTCATCTAGGGAGCAGCTTGTGCATCCAGTTTTGTATGCTGTATAGACAAATAAAAAGATATTTATATACGGTATGAATAATTTCAAAGTTAACCAAGTTTGATATACAGTACAGTATTATAGCTGACTATGTGACAATGGTGATACTAATACTTTTCTCAGAGACTGCATTGACAATACAATTGTTTGTGATTGGTAGATTTCATTATAGTTATGGTTCATTCATATGATTATAATTTTATGTCAATGTTGTGATTAAAATACTATACTAACTTGAGATATGACTTCATAGCTACCAATAAAAAACAACTAAGTCTCATTCAATCAATAAGTTGCTTTGAATTACCTAAGCATTACATTAGAAGCAAGCACCTAGATTAGCTCTTGATGTGTTTTGTTGGTGTATGTTATAGAGTGAGAATGGATGTATTGTATGTTAGATTTTTTATGTTCTTGCACCTGCACTATTTTTGTTATTGTTGCCTTTAAACTATTTTATAGGCATTATTATAACTTTTACATCCATTTTTGTGTGTGGAAATTATCATATAAATGGTGCTGTTAGTTTTGCAGTTAGTCCAGCAAGGCTTAACTACACATGCAGTGACTTTAACATACCACACTGTGTAAAAAAAAAAAAAAAATATATATATATATATATATATATATATATATATATATATATATATATATATATATATATATATATATATATATATATATATATATATATATATATATATATATATATATATATATATATATATATATATATATATATATATATATATATATATATATATATATATATATATATATATATATATATATACTTATATATATATATATATATATATATATATGCTATATATATATATATATATATATATATATATATATGTGTATGAAATAAAATTATGTACAGTAAGACCCTCAAGTTTCATAAGTGCCACATAAGTGTTAGTTCACAATGATTTCACTCACAAATCAATTTGTTATTTTTTTTAAATCTGTGATACCCTGTTCAATACTGTGCAGTACTTTGTCTTTCAGCAAAATTTTAATGATGCAAAATAAGAAAGATACTGAATATTTTTGCCATATTTTTTGTGTGATTTAGAGGTACAGGCATATCTCACTGTACATCAGGCACATGTTCTAGAAAAGTGTGAGTTCAGTGAAATAATGTATTGTACAGTATTGGGAACACAAGTTTATCATATAATACAGTACTATACTGATTGATATAAATAGGGGTTGTCTTCCTGGGGACATCTGTGATCAAAATTTTCTCACCAGAATATTAATTAGATACCAGGTACCTAAATTATATTATTCAAAGTTAGAATGAATACAGTATTTAAATTTGAAATACCCAATTCCTTACTCTAGTTCAACTTGAAGTCATTTTAGTAGCAGTTAAAGGTGTCATGCTTTGAGCACATTCTTGGAGTTTGTTTCAGTTCTCTTGAGTTGTTTTCACCAACCAGGCAGGTACTCTTAAGTGCTCTAGTGATGATAAAACTCATTCACCAGCATCAAAATGCCTCAAGACATACTTGGTTTTTATTACCA